CAGCATTTTAGATGACAAATTTTTTTGCATTTAACGCATTTGACTGATGGCGTTGATGGTGTAACCGCAGTTTCACAGATTATACAGAAAGCTGGCATTGCTGTAAATGAAAAGAATAAGGGGAAAAACAGGGACACAACAGTTCACACCAATAGGGCCAGTTATGGTGACTAACGAGAGACAAACAGTGCAGACCACGGAAAGGAATGGTAATGAACACAGGGTATAAAACGATTATTATTAAGCTGATATTAAAGTGCGCAGGAAGTGAAAGTTAATCACACTCTAAAGAAAACCCTAAAAAACTTGCTGATAAAATAAAACTTTAGTGCACTACCAAACGTTTTAAAAGGAATTATTATTTAACTATAGCTCACCTCAACACTAAATTTTAACTTCAGGTTCCAGTGCACAAGGACTTACTGTGGTATAAAACTGAGAATAATTCAAAAAGGATATACACCAGAAAAACACGAAAACTTAGGAGCAATCTAAACGTGATAACTTGCTGAGATAAGGTTTCCGTTCTGACATTAGATTGACATTAGAGTGCAATAAACTTTTTCTTGCACTAGTGCAAGAAAGTGCCATTTTTTGCACTCTAAACCATTGACGTATGAGTCATTTTTACACGAATGTAGAAAAAAAAACTTGAATAATCAAGAAAAATCGTTGTTTCCCCATTCTGTTTCCAACAAAATTTTCGTGTACGTCCTTTTAACTTTTGACAAGCAGTAATTTTTCTTCACTGCAGTGTTCACTGACTTTTACACAATGGAATTTTACTGTCTTCGAATTTTCCTTGGAGAAACAGACAACTATCAAGTGCTCAGCGTCTGATCAAACATTTTTACTCAAAGGAAAAATTTGAGTTTGAAAGTGCAATTCTGGAACATGAGGATTATAGAACTCCTAGAACTGTTATTTGCCAAAGATATAGTAATTGTGATCGAAAATTTGAAAGATATTTGCAACAAAATATAGTATAGCAAAAAGAGCTATAAAAAACCTAAATAGAATCTAATGGGAAAATCAACAAAGAAATAGAAGCCCGAAGAACCAATTCTTTGGGAAAAGGGAAGTACCAAAAGAAACAAATAAAGTGTACCAGTCAATGGTGAGACTGTCACTACTTTACGGAAGCGAGTCGTGGACCTTTACAACGAGAAACAAATGGGGACAAAATGGAGCGAAACAAGATCGCACAAGATCGAGAGAATTGGAAAACAATAATTAGATGTGCTATATAAAATAACCACACGTTGTAATTTTTAACTCTTACACCAAAAAAAATAGAAGGACTATAAATTAACTAAATAAGTAAATAAATATATACATAATACGCCGCTAGTCAAAACCTAAGCGGTAAGTGTGACGACTCACTATGTTCTTCTATCTATTTTATCGCATCTATTTCCTCGAATTAAGGGTTTCGTGTCACACTAAAAAATATGATACACAAAATATTGGCAATCATATTATATTGGCAACTCAGCTGCAAAAACCGGACTCTTTTCGCATCAGGTATTGCGACGATATTCGGGTGGGACGGTCCGGAATCTCGCCGATAACGTGTGGTTGCGGCGTACCTGAGTGCCAACCCTTGGGCCGACTAGTGCCGCTGATATAGGAAACACGTCTGGCCGACCTAGGCTTCCGCGGCGATCTTCACGCCGTCGGAGGTAGCGCCTTCGGTTGGGCGCCAGCTCCCTCTCCGGGGGAGAGAGCGCCGGGGTTGCTCTCAAGCCGGAGACACGAATCTCAGTTTTTTTCAAAACCAAGGCACCAGCCACAGCACAGGCAACACCTCTTCTCTGACGCTTTAAGACCGAATCCTCTTCTTCGCGGTGTGCGTCCCGGTTTCCGGCCCGCGAAAATTCGCTTCGTTACAGTTCATAGATCTATTTTACAATAACCTTAAATTGATCAACCTTTAGCACAATAAAGCGCTCTTAATGTACTTCAGGTTACTAAGAAAAGTACAACTGCGATGCATCCCAAGGATCTAATCGAATTTTTGCTGAAAACCAGTTCTTATCAAACTGTCCATATACAGGTTGCGATTTTAAGAACGACTAACAATTTTTTGGAAAATAATTTAACACACAACCAACGCACAGGGGTCTAGAGGTTTCCTTCTCTCTTTTATGTGAGTAATGAAGAATAAAACTCACCCAACAATTGAGATACAAAAATTAAAGACCAAATGAATAAACAAAGACTACATCAAATTAATGTTGTTGTCTGTAGAGCTTGTGTTTTTCTTATTAATGAAGCATCGAAAAATGTTATAGCATAGCAAATATGAGAATTAATTCAGTTTGGTGCAAGGGAGAAGATAAACTGCGTACTAAATAGAGAATACCACGTGTAATAACGTAAAGTGGACTTATCTACTAAATGAGAAAATGGCCATTTATCATTATTGGCCTCTATATACCTTACGTAACACTGAAAATAATTAAGGGCGGTTTCAATTAATTAACAAATAGAAGCAATTTATCAACCGTTAATCAATTATTCAACATAAAACGTCATAAGTGAGGGAATATCAAACGTAAATTAATAAACGTATTCACAAAACCGTCAATATTTTACTGCATTTACGGCAAAAAGATAATAACAAGTGACACTGACATAGATCAATTACTTTGATTTAATTTATTACTACAAAATAACCATGGGAAAATACAATAGACACAACTAAAAAAAATGTAAATGGTGATATAGCTTGATGTTTAAACTTCAGAAGACATAGATACGAAAGTAGATGCCGACTGCCTTTCCAATTATAATAATAATAATATTTATTCCTACAGGTAACATCCAATTACAGGAATAATATCAAACTAACTAAACTAATTCATGACAGTAACTAAAAAGGTATAAATATTGAAAAAACAAAAGTATCTACAGCTAATTAAACATTAACCCAAATTAACGATGCAATTACAAATACTAACACTAGAATCAAAATTAATATCACATAAATGTGCAATTTTGTTGAATAAGTTACACATAACCGACACTGGCATTATAATGGAATGATGATGATGATGATGTCATGATTGACGTAGGTGTACTAGGACGTAATTGGTCGATAGTTGTTGCTAGGCAAACCTTTTGGTGTGTTTGAAATGATGTTACAGTTCTTCAGATGATGAGATTCTATAGTACTTGGACAACTCTGATTCCTAAAACTAAGAAAGAATTTCAAAGTTTATTTTCCCGATACATGTGTTATTCGTTGTGCTTCAGAAACGGAAACATTAAAAAAATCAATCATATTAATTAAAAATAAAACCTGTAGTAACTTAATTGCGAAAGCTTAAAAGATTATTTCAGAAGACTCGCAGCTAAATGTAATAAATCAAACTTTTTCAGTTCTCTTGTGTATGTGAATAACATGTTAAAACATCGTCGTGAAAGCTTCCGTGAGCAGAAGTTTAGAAAAACATTTATTTGACATGAAAAAACTTGAATGTATAAAGATTTGCGGCTTAAGTGACTGACAGATGGCTTGCGGACGAAGTGTCTGGAGTTTATCCACTAAGATCGCTAAACACTGCTTCCATCATAACAAAAGTCAACAAGATTTTGTCGACATAAACCGGTTTTTTTATTGACTTGAGATTCAGCAAACTGCTTCTAAACTGAAAACACGCACACATCAGTGTAGTGGCCCAACTGGGTATCTTTTACTCAATAGTTATTCAATGTTTGCACAAATGCAGCAAAATAAACTTGACAATAATTTTTTTGCAAAAAAATGTTATTTTATGGAGTAATTACTAACTTTAATGAGACTTTTTTGCCAACAAACAGTTTCGGATTTGTGTTGGCATTTCCCTTATTGACTATGCTGTGATCTACTAATCGTTAAATATCGTATGTTAATTGCAGTTTCGGGGAAATAACAGACATCAAAGCCTTTTATCACTGCCGAGCAATTAATTCCGCTAGATTTGCCCCTATCGGGTTACAAATGTCAAGCGAACCATGTTTATTAACGTAAAATTTAACAAAATTAGCAAAATTAAGTTGGATTTGATTGCGTAAAATGAATATCGTTAATATATTAGGGGGTGTCATGTAGTATTATATATATTTTATATTATATAAAATATAAAAATACAAAATTGTAGAAGCTATTTGCGTATCATGTTAGCATTATCTAGATAATATTTAAAAATTCCCGTCTATTCTGTGGTCATGTTCAAAAATATATTGAGAAACATTGACTTTTCAAACCTTCCGGATGTGGGGTGAGTTAGGTGCTCTTGATGATGATTGATGACCTTTTTGTTTGTTCAATATATTTATAGAGTGAGCACTTCTAAAAGTTTATATCCTTTAATACTGCCTCTCAATATCATCAATTTTCTTATAAAACATTCTAGTGTCAATGTTGAATAATTTAAATTCTTCAGTACTGTTAAATGTACAAATTATAGTCATTTAAAGATATTGTAATTGATATCTTCTTAAAATCAAAGTACAACACGACATCAACAAATTATCAAGTTTCACTGACTTATTTAAAAATAACACATTTATGTATTTTACATTTATAAAATCTGGTATGGAATGCTATCAAATTTGCTGCATGCGTTTGTACACTAATCTGTATCCAGCTGTTATTTGCACAATAAGGCTTGAAAAATCCTGTCAAATCTAAGCATATTTACATGATAAAAAACCATCATGCAAATTGCACTCCTACTGCATTCTAATCAAAGCAGCGATTATTATTGTGACGTGTCCGCTGATAAAACGAAACGGTCGCCTGGATGCACATAACAATAAACCGCCAACAAAATCTAATCTGATCAAAGTTAAATTATCTTTAAAACGTGAGGGAAGCGAATATCCAGTCTCGGTTGTTATGGAGCTTGATTTTGCCGAAGTTCGTGGAAAGCTGCATAAAATGCGATGCACAGAAATTTGCGGAAAATCCTCTAACAAAAACTCCCGCGTCTTAACTTTCTTTTTCTTTTCAGATTTCACGAGGAGAACCAAAATCGATGGAAGAACACACTGACTTTTCCCGACGATGCTAATTAACACCTCGGCCGAACTGCCGAAAATGTGATTTTTACCGATCTCCGAATTTACCCAAATTAGTTCCGAGTGCATTTTCTTAATAACGACAAACTTTGTTCTGGTAATTTGGCGACGATAATGGCCCCAACTTTTCCTAATTGCCCCAAGTTACGAAAAATGTGATTCAATCTGGAGATGGAAAAGCGCGTCTGAGCTGGGTTAAAAATCGGCAAAAATGAACGAAGAAGAGTTCAACCAGTCGTTGGTGGATTTCAACAATTCCATCTCAGACTTAACCCCACTTCTCAACAAATCGGAAGTTATCACCTACATCAACATTACCACCGAAATGCCCATTTCCTACGCCGTTCCGCTGTACGGGTACATCATGCCCTTCCTCCTTATCATCACCATCATCGCGAATACTTTAATTGTGGTTGTGCTGAGTAAAAGACACATGAGGACTCCGACGAATGTCGTGCTGATGGCGATGGCGCTTTGTGATATGTTTACGGTTTTAATACCAGCTCCTTGGCTCATCTACATGTACACCTTCGGGAACCACTACAAACCCTTGTGGCCCATCAGTCTTTGTTACGCCTGGAATGCCATGCATGAGGTAAGTGCAAACGCAGGTTATTTTTGTAATCACGCTTTGCGTTAACACGTTCAACTTATCATGATAATTTTATTATCACCGCAAAAGCCAGCGTTATAGACCCAATTAGGGGCGAATTTATGTAAATGGGGCAATTAGCTCTTCACCCGTTTCTTAAAAATGCTCTCTGAAGTGTTCTGGCCACAAAAGAAATTAGTGTTTGTAATTTGGGTAGGCCTGGTCCTGGCTCATGTAAGATTTAGGAGAATGCTCTGGTTTTTATGGCTGTACGGCGACCGAGTTGACGCAAAGTAGAATATGTGATTAAAACCAAATTTGCCTTTTGCTTTGTAAATCCACCATAATCAAACAAGCAGAAAGCGAATAAATTTGTACACGACATTTAGTTTAGAATTAACGTCTTAATTATTTAATAATCTTTAGTTTGTACAGCGGCACCAGACTGAAACAAATTAGAGTATACAACTCAGGTTAGATTTATTTTGATGGAAACGCAACTTAATCGAACGGATCTACTCGTAATATAATTATTCTAAACAATCGCTTGCACCGTTTTAATCACTCGATCTCGCTGTGATTCGATAGTCATTTTCATTCAATTTCATGCTTTAATGCTATTTGTCGGAATGCGCCAAACAAAACAACTAAGTATTTAAATTTTAATAAAATCGCGTAACCTTTCGCTTTGTGCGTCGTTGTACACTTAACATCTAGCTCAATACGCGAGCTTTGCTTATTTAATATAGTGAAGAAAACGCGTAATCCACCGACTGTGTGTTCTTGATATCTTCCGTCTGTGTTTAATGATCCATTAACTAATTCTGGTTAGGAGCTAAAAATCAACAAATTTTGTCTAAGTTGGTAATAGAATTAAGCAAATCTGAGATCGTTTTGTTTGTTGATACGAACTGAAACAGTAAATGTTGTTCACGGTGTATATCGGCAATATATAAGTAACATCACTCCAGACAGACATGAAATCAGATACCCGCAACAAAGAGCCGAAATTGTGTTACCTTCTAATTGCTGTTTGTTGTATTGTTTCAACCGAAACAAGTTAAACAGAAAGTTTAATGAAACCAAGGATCAATATGATGAATTGATGAGGAGACATTTGTATCAGTACTACATTTCTATAGTCACGTGTGTGTATGAGTGTGTTTCTTAGAAGTTGGTTGAAAATCATCGTGGAGATAACCCTGGGATTAATACGAGTATGTGTCGTATCAGTGAAAAACTTTGAACTAGTTCTAATATAATTCTTTGAAATATTCATTGACTATTTTCTACCTTGTTTTTACGAGTGTCAGATTTAATATAACTTCAATTTCGAACAAACTCTTCACTCAAGTAGGGCTACGAAATCGGTCAGTGGACTCAAGTCTTGGATTTGGTGGAAACAGTTTATTGTGATAAGATGACAAAATCGGTCGATAAACACAGTGGAAACTCTTGACGGCATTAGAGTAACAAAAAATTCACTTTATAGTGATTCTGCGAACACTAACGATGAAACAACGAAACCGGTCTCAGATACCATAGGTCATTGCTTTCACTCAAAAACAATGCACCTGAGGAAAAAGTAGAAAGTGGACATCGTTCATTTACCACGAAAGACGAAAATAGCGGGTAGAGAAAATTCCATTTTTATGAAACCTTTGTTCCTAAATTGAAACTCAAAGATCGTTTAATATTCAATTCAAATTCAATTACGAACAGTCTTTAGTAACCAAAAATTTGTTTGCACGTCCACTATACACTATATTCACCTTTGTAATGTGCAATTACAGAGCTTTCTAAGACGTCTGAATGCCAATTTTAGCACTCGACCAAACCCTTAATTAAAGGCCTGAGAGGCGCTGTCTCTTGGTGAGTTACTGAAAATATCGGTAAATGCCGACCAAATCTTGTACTGTGCGGGAAATAAGTTTTGTTTGTTGCATACTGCTTTTTTACACACAGTTACAAAAAAATTCTGATTCGGCTAGGTGTCTGCTAAAATAAGACCGATTTTGACAAATGACATCCTCTAAGAAAAGAGAGGGTGGGTGGGCGGGGCTAGTATCTGCTAAGATAAGAGCGATTTTGGCAAATGAGATACCTTCTAAGAAAAAAGAGGGCGGGTAGGTGGGGCTAGTAAAACGGGGTCTCAAAATTAACTCAAAAACAGGTCAGGTCCCAATTTTCCAAAAATATAACATCAAAGTCCTCCAATATTGTTTTAAATAATTTACAAAAAAAAATCCATGGGCTCCCATTATGGGTGCCCAGAGTCTTCCGAATTAAAAAAGAAACACTGCGGCACTAAAGACTTTTTCATATAAAAAATAAAACACTAAAAGATTTTGACTTTGTAAGTTCATCCAGCAACAGAACACCAGATTCCTTTAAATTTATCCCAAAATAAAACACCAAAATTTATTGCGAACATTTTAAACGTAGGATTTTGAATACTCGAACAATTGTTGTCAAACGCAATTTTATCAAACTATTACAAAAACAACACACCCATATCTTTTCTAATTGAAATGGTAATTAAACATGGTCATAGGCGAGAGAAATACGAACTAAAAGTTTTATTACTAGTTGTTGTGATAATGAATGTGTTGTTTAGTTGTTAAACGTAGCAAAATAACCAATTTAATCATTATAACTCGACCAAAATGTAAGAAGGAATTTTTTTATTAGTTTTTCCGAAGAGTTAATCCGCCGTTTTCCAGACACACGCTATAGCATGATGAAAATTGAAAGAAAATAGTTTATCAACTTTTTTTGGCGCAATTTTTACATCACGTATCTTTAAAAACCTATAATCTCAATAATCACAAAAATTTCGGAACACGGTTTTCACCATTGTTTTCAGCTTACAAAACTTTAAACATCACAAAAAAGCATTGTAGAATTTTTTCTACAGATACAGCAAAAGCAGTTTCTTCACTGGTTTTTCACTCCATTCATATTTTTTCTTACCAGTTACAAAACACTGGTTTTATTTTTCTTTCAGTCTTCACTTCTTATAGTCCAAAGCTTGTTAAGGTTACCAGCGATCAGAGGTCATGAAGAAATTTTAAATTTTTGGACCATTTAAATTTTTTTGGTTGTCTGTGAATATGTGTCAATTTTTTAAGAAATTTAAGGATATGTACAGGGAGAAAAGGCACTATAATAAAATAAAAAATTCTCACTTTTTTTTCATTTATCTGAATTTTTATTGTACTATAAAATTAAAAAAAAAACTCTTGCAAAGTTCAATATTTTTGTTACTTTCGATACGTTTTATTTGCTTTAGTAAAATAATATTTTCTTAAAGCATTTTCTACGTTTTATTTTATAAACATGTTTTTAGGTAAGTAACGAAGAATCTATTTTTAAGACTTGTTATGTTTTTCTGAGCAATTCAACATTTTACCAAATTTTACGTAAATTTCCATTAGCGAATAATATTAGTCAAAAAAATAATATTTTTTTTAGAATAATTGGAATAATTTAGGAATGTTACCGTGTGAAGCTAATAAAGCTATTTTTGACATTATTTTGAAATTAAAAAAAAAACTGACAAATCTGAAAAATAAAAAAGTTAAATGGGATTTTTGCAATGTACTTTTTTCGATTGGTTTTTCCTAAGCAGTGAATTTACGTGTGCTGTTCTTCATTTGCAAATTTAATATCATTACTTTTGGCTAATGTCCCCTCGAGATAACTCACTCTATATGTATTTCTTTATTAAATATTTTTGGAAATGTCGTCGATTCTTCTTATGTTTTTGTTATTTCTTTGATCTCTACCAAAAACTTGATGACAATGTTTCAACGAATTATTAAAAATTTAATAAAGTGAAATTTTCACAGAAGATCAAAAACAATGGGTGTTAAACGGATTTATTGCGATCAAATTCCGGGGAACGGTCTGGAATTTTGCCGATAACGCGTTGGGGTGGCGTGCCTCGGTGCCAAGCCTTGGGCCGACTAGTGTTTCTAAACAGAAATACGTCTGGCCGACCTAGGCTTATGCGGTCACTTTCACGCCACCAGGGGTAGCGCCTTAGGTCGGGAACGGCGGTGCTCGGGTGCCAGCTGCCTCTCCGGCGAGGGAGCACCGGGGTTGCTCTAAAGCCGGAGACACGGATCTTTAAGTGGTGTGGTCAGCGCCCGCAGAAACAAAATTAAGTAAAACGGAGGAAAATTTTAAACAAGAATCGGGTTTTATTCCTTGCCCCCAGTTTATAATTTTTCATTAATCAAAAATGTTCCTGAACTGAAATTTATTAAAATACCATTTTTTGAAAGCGATGTCTCGTATTTTTAAAAATGCAACTCCTGAATGATGTGATATTTCCCTTAAATACAGAACGTTAACTTAAGGAGAAACAATTGTGTCAGAAAATATCAGAACTTCTCTTGAGAAATATGATACTTTAGCAACTTAAAACATTTTTAATAGCGAAATTTTAATGAAGTTTAATCATTATATTTTATCGAACGAGATCAATGTCCGATATTTTTAATAACTTCAATTTTAAATTATCTTTAAAGTGCTACAAAATATGTCGGCCGAACATGTTTTGTAATTCTAACAGAATTGTTGATCAACATCAATTTTGGAAGTGAATCTTAGAACTTTTTTGTGTATTTACCAACGATATTACCATAATTTAAATGAAATGAAAAAAATATACTGTAGTAAAATGATGACCTAATTATTTTACTGTTGAACGTACTGTTTTTTATGTGTATTGATGAACTAAAAGTTTAGTGTCAATAAAAATAGCTTATATATTTAAAAAAATGATAAACTGTAGAAAAGGCAGAATTTGCTTAAAATAAATTATTATTTTATGAGATTTTTGTTGTTATAGAAGAAATAATGTTTAATTTAAACACATGCGTTATCTAGGACGCCGTTTAAACTTATAGTGAAATCTATAGACGTCAAATAAAGTCTCCCTTACGCTTGTTTCTGCAATGAAATCCGCACAACACAACAAATAGAATTGCGACCTA